AAATACCTCTTGCCACACCTGAAGCCGCCCAACGCTGATGTGCTGACTACCGATCTCGAGTCCCTCACGGCCAAGTATGACGCTGTTTCCTCTCAACTGTCAGCGCTGGAAGAGACGACAGAGAGCGTCAAGGTGGGTGTAGAGGAGCAGCGCAAAGCTGTCGATCAAGGCATCAAGGAAGTGGAGAGCGCTGTGGATTTGATCAAGAAGGGAGAGACGAGGAGGGATGATGAGATTAGAAAAGTGGTGGATGAGGTGGAAGAGATCAAAAAGAGTCTACCAAAGGTGAGTTTTGTGCGCCGCCCTCCCCCAACTTTCGACGCCCCCCTCCATTCCCGACGCATGGAGCCCACAGAAGCTCGAAGAGTGTTCGTCTTACGAGCTTTTCACCTTTCTCATGTCATGTCAGATGTTTGAGAAGACGCAATCAGCGCAAGCTCAATCCTTGTCGGACTTGCAATCTGAATTGAAGTCTCTCAAGTCTTTGTTGGTCTCGCGCGGCGGAGCAGGGGCAGGAGCAGGAACAGGAGCAAGTCGGTACTCTAGCGGTGTCGGTGGACCATCATCAGGAACAAGCGGGGGCAGGGACTCTCCAGCACTAGGATTCAAACCGAGCATTCCAGCATGGCAGCTAGCGGGAGGCAGCGGAAGTGGAGCTAGCGCTGCTGGAAGTGGCACGGAGAGCAACACACCCGCAAAAGATGCCAAGGTGGGCGCGACCAGCGCGAGCTCGGACGAGGAAAAGTCTGTGCAGAGAGGCCTGCAAAAAGGAGGCGCGAGCGGCGAAGAGTCTGCTACTGGTGCATACAGTATCCCTTCATGATCTTCTCAAGTTCTTGTTGATCATGGCTACCGTGACCTTGTTTTCCCCCTTCGCTTGTTTGACATCCCTTGTGCTTCTTCTGCTGCTTATGAGGCACAGGCCTTCATGTGCGCTTTGCAGCGCTAAAATTCAAACCTTTGCGATATGGCTCCAGTCTAGCTCGGCGCTCTTGTGCATGTAAGCTTTGATCGTTCATGCATGTCGACGAGACTTGTATTGTACAGCGCGGGGTAGAACGTGGGCCGAAAAGGAGTGAGCGGTGCACGGGGTGTCATCTTGAAAACGCAACAAGGGCGAGGGAGCATGCGGGGTGGCCTCAAGCGGCTCGCGTCGTCTGTCGAAGAGAGACATTTGCACGCTCGACGTCAAAGGAGGTGGCGAGGGGTGTCGAAGTTGGTGTGTCTCGTGAGAGGTTCGTGTTGCCTGTCAATCCATTGCTAGCGGCAAA